CCCACAACATGCGGTTGTACGCCTGAACTTGCACTTGAACACATTCTGATCGTCACAAGGTACCGCGTGGGCACTGTCGTGCGGTACTTGCGGTACTGGCCGCTCGGACAGGCTGTCGGGTGCTGCCGAGGCCATTACTTTGCGATGCTGCGCGCTGGCGTGCGTTACCGCACGCAGACGTGCTTAACTGGGTGTTGGCGTGCACAGGCTCACTGCCAACGACTACTCGCAGCGGGTACTGATCACACGCAGTACCTGCCGCACATGACCCGCATTACCCACGCACTGGCTGCGGCGCTGGGTGACTGTTGGGGCGCTGTTGCCGCTACGTGCGGGCAGCTTGGCCACGACCGGCCCTTACCGGTCGTTTGGCGATTTCCCCCGGCAACTCAAACATAAATAAACATAACTTGATATGACATGATTATATATATATGCGGAACTTAGCTGAAATATCATGAACTTCACTTGATGAACTAGCGTGGCTTTGGGGTGGGCGCACCGTACGCACATGTTCGGCGTTAAGCCAAACCCCCGAGTAAACATGAACTTTTCTCGGACAACCTCAAGAAATTGATCATTATATATTATTTAAAGCTTATTGAGACTAGGGTTACCCGAACAATTCTCATTATACTGAACGTTAACATAAAAGGCACGCCACGGCCCGTGGACATGCACTGGATGCACAGTCCACTTCCGTGGACCAAAAAATGAACAAAACTCCAATTTGTCTCAACCTATCTTTTAAATCTGATCATATAATAACCTGAAATGACTAAATAAGCATGAATTGCTCAGTGTTGTGTGAGTAGAATTTAACTTAACTCGGTCATGACCTCAAATGACTTAAACCGAGTATAACATGATAATCACTTGAATTTCTTGACATGGGTTGGACAAACTGAACTTAACATGACTTAATTAACATGAGAAGAGGCTGAACTCGAAGTTACCTTCTTGCCTGTTCGGGGAATTTCCCATAATTGGGCATGATTCATCACCTCCAAGCATCCGCGAGCGTGTGCGTGTTTATGGCTAATGCTTAGCTTAATTATTGCTAAATATGTGTTGAGTACATG